AACCTAGCAACCACCCAGAACACCCTACCATCCACCTAGCAACCAGCAGGAACACCCTAACAACCAGCCAGAACCACCTAGCAATCACCAAAAACCACCCATAACAATCTTGCAACTACCTAGCACCCTAACAATCACCCAAAACACCCTATTATTCATCTAACAACCACCCAGAACACCCTACCAATGCCCAAGCTACCACTCAAAACACCCAGTCTTGTTTTATGCAACTTCTGCTACCGTCCACCTAGCAACCACCAGGAACACCTGAGCAACATCTAGCAACCATCCACAACCACCTAGAAATCACCAAGAACCACCCATAACAAAATAGCAACTACCTAACACCCTAACAACCACCCAAAACACCCAACCATTAACCTAGCAACCACCCAGAACACACTACCGTCCACCTAGCAACCACCAGGAACACCTGAGCAACATCTAGCAACCATCCACAACCACCTAGAAATCACCAAGAACCACCCATAACTAGCTAGCAACTACCTAACACCCTAACAACCACCCAAAACACCCAACCATTAACCTAGCAACCACCCAGAACACCCTACCATCCACCTAGCAATCAGCAGGAACACCCTAACAACACATAGCAACCAGCCAGAACCACCTAGCAATCACCAAAAACCACCCATAACAATCTTGTAACTACCTAGCACCCTAACAATCACCCAAAACACCCTATTATTCATCTAACAACCACCCAGAACACCCTACCAATGCCCAAGCTACCACTCAAAACACCCAGTCTTGTTTTATATATGCAACTTCTGCAGCACTGGCATAATTCCACTCACCATGGCGATCTTGCAGACGTTCTGGCAGGCCAGGCTGCGGCCGGCCGTTCCCGCTGCTGGAGCGGATGTGTATGTGTGTGTGAGTGCTGGTGGAGGGGCTCTGGGTGGAGACGAGTGTATGTGTGGTGGTGTCAGCGGAAGGCCAAGTGCCAGCGGCAGCGGGTGAGAGAGGTGGACCGGAGGGCACGGGGGCAGCCGGCGGAGACCATGAGACAGGACCACAGAGTCCACCGTCTGGAGAGGAGACTGGGGCTACAGAGACACAGGTAAAGATCATGTTTGACTGACAATGAATATTTCAATAAACATTTAATATGCAGGATGCACAAAGCAATAAAGCAGAGTTCACACAAAATTTATCATTTCTGTCATTTATTCACCCTCATATCACTTAAAAATAGTTTGACTCTCTTTTTTTCGTGAAACACAAAATGAGATGTTAGGCAGAATGTTCAAGCTGCTTTAACATATAATGAATGTGAATGATGCTGTTAAACTAAAAAAAACAAATCATCAGATAGTCACTTATTTGAGTCATTTTTAGTATTTTGTTTTAGTTTTTATTTATATAGTTTCAGTTTTCATTTTTATTTGAAAAAATTAGTAATTTAGCTATGTGCTTTTGTTAGTTTTATAATATTTCTATTTCACTTTAATTTATATTTATTTGAGTTATTTTAGTACTTCAATTCAATTAATTTCACTTATTGGCTATGGCAACATGTCTAATTTGTTTTTTTAAGATTAGGTTTTTCCATCTAACATTTTTATTTTATTAGCTTTATTTTAATTTAAATGGTTTTTTTTATTTAGCAATAACATCACTCATACAACTGAGATACTACAGTGGCTTTAGAAGATCTGGAATATAGTGGACGAGTCATATGGTCTATTTTTATAGTGTATTTATTGAGTTTAATGTCATTTTTGGAGCATGAGAGCACCATTCAGTATGAGAAAGAGCAGCTTGAACATTCTGCATAACGTTTCCTTTTGTGTTCCACAGAAAAAGAGAAAGTCATACAGGTGTGGATCAACATACAGCTGAGTAGATGAGGACTCATTTTTGGCTGAGCTATCCTTTTTAAATGATACAAATGAGTCTCATATGAGCACACACTCACACATCAGAGCTGTTTTGAGCTCTTGACCTGCAGCCAGATGTGACAAGAACAAAAAGAGACGAGAGACAGAAACAGTGTGTGTGTGTGTGTCTGTATAACCTCACCGTGCCTAACATCAAACAGACCTACATCCTCTATCTATCCTGTTACCGTCACACATTATGAGGACCAGATACTGCAGCCGCTCTTAAAGGAACATTTCACTAAAAAAATATATATTAACTCACCTTTAAGTTGCTCAAACCTGTATTTTCTTTGAAACAAAAAAGCATGAAATGAAGTGAAGTGGAAACAAGATTTGAATGCTACATGTAAAATTATCTTTGAAAAACTACTTAAATTTCAGCCACTTTCTAAAAGCTTCAGAATATAGTACTTATTATACTATACTCTATAGATGATATTTTTATGGTGTTTCTGCTACTGTTTTCATAATATGTTAAAGAGCAGTGTGAACATTTCTTCATACTATCTTATTTTGTGTCCCATAGAAGAAAGGTCATACAGGTTTGGAACGACATGAGGGTGAGAAAATAATTACAAAATGATTCAACATTTTGGGGTCAGTAATATATATATATTTTTAAAAAGAAATTATACTTTCATGCAGCAAGGATGCATTAAATTGATCAAAAGTGGCACTAAAGACATTTATAATGTTACAAAAGATTTCTATTTCAAATAAATGCTGTTTTTCTTTACTTTTATTCATCAAAGTATCCTGAAAACAAAACATATCACTGTTTCGATAAAAATATGAAGCGGCACAACTGTTTTCAACATTGAACTATTTCTTGAGCAGCAAATCAGCATATTAGAATGATTTCTGAATGATCATGTGACACTGAAGACCGGAGTAATGATGCTGAAAATTCAGCTTTTGCATCACAGGAATAAATTACATTTTAACATATTCAAAACAAAACATATCACTGTTTCGATAAAAATATGAAGCGGCACAACTGTTTTCAACATTGAACTATTTCTTGAGCAGCAAATCAGCATATTAGAATGATTTCTGAATGATCATGTGACACTGAAGACCGGAGTAATGATGCTGAAAATTCAGCTTTTGCATCACAGGAATAAATTACATTTTAACATATTCACATAGAAAACAGCTATTTTAAATTGTAATAATATTTCAAATTTTTTCTGTTTTTCTGATCACATAAATGCAGCCTTGGTGAACACAAGAGACATTCAAAAATTCAAAAACTTTTGAACAGTCTCTCTCGCTCTCACAGTCTCTCACAGCGCAGGCTATCCGGTGCACCACAGGGGTCAGTCATGGTACTTTGCACATCCTCTAATCACAGATCTGAACTGCTTTACTCAACAACAGCCTTGAGATCACAAATGCATCCACAATCCATCTGGCTGACAGGCGTCTCTACTGATTTTCCAACAATTTGTGAGAGCTCGTGTGGTCTGACAACTAAAGGGCAGGTTTCAAACGCGGAACGCTCACTTTGTCTTTCCTGTGCTTTTTATTAAACAAACCTCTTGAGTGAGAGATGGACAGCAACTGTCACTCAGAAAAGAAATAAAATAGTGAAGCGACACGCATATGCATGCAAGTTTATGCACAAATATGAAATATGCATATGCTTGTGTCTCTCTCAATGCATGTGTGTGCGCATATGCATGCAATATGTAACTGAGGGATGACACACACCTTATATATGCTGGCACTTTGTGGTAAAGCTGAAGTCTGACGTTGAGGAGACGTTCTGTACGTGGAGTGTGTTTGAGTCCCAGTGTGTGTGTGAGCGAATGAGAGTGTGTGTGCTGGACTGTTCAGTCTGTTGGGTCCCACAGACCTGCAGCAAAGCACAAATACAGAACCCAATGTAGGATATCGCAATAATGATGTGCAGTTTTACCAACATCTTATCTAAAAAGGAACCTCCTCAGACATTCACATTCTAGCAAGGTTCTCTCAAAGTTATGAACAAACATTCTCAGTAACATCTTGCAGTAACTTTATCTGGTCTTTAATAATGTTCTCAAAATGCTTAATAAAGTTCTGAAACCTTGTAGTTGGACATTCGTCTAACATAATTTAAAATGTTACATGTTCCAGAATGTTCAAAGAACATTCAAAAGTAACATTCCCATAATTTTTGCAAAAATATCAAATGCAATGTTCCCTTAACAGTCACATAACCAAGAAGCAATGCAATGTTGCCTTAACAGTCACATAATCAAGAAAAAAGGCTTTTAAAACATGAAATAATGTTTACATAACAATGGGAATGTTAGCAAAATGTTCTTAGAACATATTTTTGTTAGCTGGGATAAAGTAATTATTTTAATTTTTGAAACTACTAGTTTCTTTTATGCAGTTTTGCTTCAAGTAAATTGCTCTCACTTTAAGAACATTTAGATGTTCTTTACTGGAAAACAAGACAAACATTCTGATTAAAAACATGATTAATTTGCAGTATAATGAGAATTAGGGGGTTAAACATGCTTAATTATAATCAAGCGTAATCATTGTCACAATGCCAAAAAATATTAATGGTCCTAAAATAAGTTTAATTTTCTTTGATTTAAAACAATTTCTTAATTTTTTTCTTTAGATATTTGGGATGAAAATAATTTTCCTCTTAAGATTCACCTCCTCAGTAAGTTCTAAATGGAAATAAAATACATCCAATGAAACATTATCAAAGTTAAGCCGTTCACAGACTGCACGTTTATGGCATCACAATCAAGTGCAGATGAACCCACATATCAATATATCATTGCATATTCAGAATTTAGGAATCTCCTTGCTCTGATTAACACTGTGAACTATGGCAACACACAGAGGTCAGCCAATCACAACACAACTCATTTACATATTGCATTTTCGATACTGTAGCAAAAACAGTCGGTTTAATTCTGCGGGTCAGATATGCAGCAAAATGGTCATGAAAAAACGAATTATGACTTTGTGTGGTGAACTGTACAGCATGGCTTAGTGCACCTTCAAATTGATTGTCTATTTCAGCTGTGCAGGTTTAGTACCTCAGTTTTTCAATGGTGTTCTTCTTATTGCTGAAGAACAGACTGAGCAGAGTTTTTCTCTTAATGCACGCGATTATTCCAACACACAGCAGACACAGAAACGCCACCAGGATGCCCACCGTCACACTGCTGCTGTCTGCATGAACAGAAACACACACACACACACACACACATTGGTGAATTGAGTAGATGCTGTTGAAGTGCAGTATAATAATAATCACGGATACATGTTTAATACCTGTTGGTCTCATTTTTTAAAGATATTTAGATGTGCTTTACAGGAAAACATGACAAAACACTGATTAAAATCATGATTAATTAGTGTTAATGAGAATTGGGAGCCAAAATGTGCCTAATTATCATAAAATTTCCATTTAGCAATTAAATTGAGGGTTTACTAGTGAGGTGAATCTAAAAAAAACACAGTCATATTTCATCCCAATATCTCAATAATTTTTTTTTTTTAATAATAAAAAATAAGGAATTATTAAGTTTTTTATATTTTATTTTATATTTATATTTAAAATAATTTGTCTTTATATTTTGGGATGACCTTAGTAAACTCAATTTAATTGCTAAATGGAAATAAAATACTTTCATTTTACAAATGAAAACATGATACAGAAATATAGGCAGGAAATTATTCAGTATCCAACATATCAAATCAGTTACAATACTCTAAAATTAACATCATGATTTTCTGTAAAGCTGCTTTAAAAGAATGCGCGCTCTACATAAGAATTTGACTTGAATTAATCATGTAGTCATGCACTTTGCCATCATAATTAAAAGAAATCACACTAAGCCCAGTTTGGCATTATGAGTGCAGCCATAGAAATGAATCATTTATGAGACTGAGGACATGAAGACGAGCTGTCATCGTGTAATTATGATAATCCTGACATGAGTGTCACATTAGATTCAGATTCCTCATCTTATCAAGAACATTTCTACACTGTATGGGCTTCTGGAGCTGATACTGTATGTAGGTCTATGGAGATGAAACTGTCCCATTATATGTTCAGATGGATGCTGCTTAAAGCCAACGTGAAATCCTGTCCACCAACCATTCAGATATATTTCTGAGTGAAACGGTAAAGACAGTCAGATATATACTCACCCCGTGTCTGCTGCACTTGGTCGAACAGTCGTGAACCCCGAGCACACTGATGTTCTGACACTGTCTGTTTATACACATCTACACACACACACACACACACACAGAGAGACGTTATTTAGTTCTGTCAGTCAGTGATGATTGACAGCTCAACTCCACCCAAACATACTGACATGATCCATCTAAACAGGGTGGAAAAGTGTCTCATACTGTGAATGTGTCACATGCAATTCAGTGTCACACACATTTACTGCTTTATAACTTCATTTTATTAATACTATGATGTCAGGGTTATTTCCAATTATGTCAGGATGTGACCATTCTTGAGGCCAATGAGGCCATTCTTTCCTTAGTTAACAAGCCTGATTTCATTCACGACTCAATTTTGACTAAACATGCAGTTATTGCATTTTGCTTTTGCATGGCACCAACGACTTCTATTGATTTTGATATATAAATGAATTATAATGATGTCAGAGCAGGGCCAGAAATAAACTATGGATTGAGGCAAAATGCCAACAGTGTAAACTCTATGACATTTGTGACGTTTGACATGTTTCATAATACAGTATTCTAGGCATATCAGGAAAATAATGCTGAGTTTTACATATAAATATGAATTTAGTAAACCTATAATGAGCCTAATTGACATAGAAATGTGACGTTTGGCACAATTTCAGCACATTTAACTAGAATACATGTAGTTAGTAAATAATATGCCAGTCTTTGAGCTACAAAAAATTGCCTTTAAATGTATATATAGAGTAAATGTTATTTATTTATTTAAAATGTATGAAAAAATCCAAAGGTAAAAACGCTCCTGAATCAATTCTAGGGAGCAAATAAATAATATTCAAATAAATATTTATCATAATTATTAGAAAAGACAAACCTATAGCTATCCATTAAGATAATAACAGTAATAATAATAATAATAATATACTTTATTTATGAATCATTTTTGGCTTTGAGAACATCCCAAAGGAAGACTAAAGTCACTATATAGTTAACAAAAAAGCATCAGTTAAATATAATCCACACATAAGCTCTAGTTTCATTCAGAATACCCTAGAAACCACATAGCAACACAATTTAACACATTCTGCAACCCTGATGTTGTGGATCTACATGAACGTAATCTGAACAAGAGTTACATTTAATAAGCGGTGGTAATCTTCTCTTCATTTACTCTCTTTACCATGTTTTCTCCACACTTGGTGCCGGTGAGCACGAGGCCCGGATCCGGCATGTCGTCTCCCAGGTACACATGAGTCCCGCGGCAGAGGATACGGCCTCCTTCCTGGAGCGGGATATTGGTTTCTATGGAGACGGCATTGGTGCCAATCACTGGCCGATTGGCTCCGCCCTGACACTGGATCTTCCCACATTTAGCATCTCTGGAAAACAACAGGAGCAAACAATTTAAATGGCAATTTTTAAAATTAATTGATAAAAAATATTAAATATATTACAAGATAATATAAGCAAAAAAGTGTATATATATATA